ATCATTCGTTGTTAAATGTCAGTTTGCCTTGCCCTAGGATGGATACTAAACCGTTGTCCTCTGCTTCTATTCCAACCAAACCCCAATTCCAGGAGTGAACCAAAGGGCGGCCGAGCTGGAGCTCAAGACCTTTGTTCACATCATGAAGAACCACCGGGCGGATGATGACTTCAACCAGGGGCTGGCTGCCATGCTCAAGACCCGCGACTGGCCTAAGAGCTATCCCAACCTGATGGCATTGTGGCAGGCCATGGCTGTGCTTCCACTGAGCACAGTGGAGTGTGAAAGAGGATTCAGCAGACAGAACGTGATCAAGTCGTGGCTGCGGACGAGCTTGTGCGATGCAAGGCTGAGCGAACTCATGACGATCAACATGCTGGACTACGACATGGACTACGCCGAGATCGTTGACATCTGGAGGAAACAGAAGATGCGAAAGCAGGCTAAGACAGTGGCCTATGAGACTCCCCTCGACAAAGGCAAGAGTGCAGCCGAGGATTCGGATGAGGAGATTGCAGCACTAGTGAGGGTTCATATGAGGATGATGATGATGATGATGATGATGATTGATGAGATGCTGCTCTGTTACCGTGCCATGTGGATGTGAGACAATACTTTTTGCTGGGCAAATTCTAGATCTCTTCCAAATTCTAGGCGGACAGGGTTTTTTTTCTGATAAGGCACAAAAACCTGGCAAATCAGAGTTCCGGTCCAGGGCACCCTGGATTTCAGAGTTAGCCCATGAGCTACTGGTGAAAATCAGAGTTCAGAAAAGTCAAAGATAAGCCCTGACTGGCATCACCTTTCAATGTGTAGGTGAAATGCGCTAACATGCTTTTCAACGCACACGAAGTTATACAATCATGTGCAAGTTGAAACTCTCTTCACTCCCATTATTTTCCATAATGACTCACGCTTTGACGGGTGGTTGACGGGCGACGGAGTGAAGTTTGCCCCTGCTTCGCAGGAGAAACCAGTGCCTTTCGCAGAACGTAGCAGCTAACTGGCCTCGTGGCAGTTTCAGAACAGCCTGCCCTGGTAATGCCTTCACCGCCTCACGCGAGAGGAGGTGGAGCTGGCTGGAGCAGCTGGCTGGAGCAGTCAAAGCTCAAACCTGCACGACAAGCTGCCAGCTGGATTGTCTTGAGAGGCCCCCCCCCCAGATCAACGTGCCACCAGACACGTGATTTTTCCAGAAACGCACGAGCTGCTAGACGATTCTTCCTGCATCATGGGGTTTTTTTCCTCGAATGCGGGAAGCCACGAAAAAAGTTGTGGCCCTTGTGGAGTGAGTGCCCAAAATCTAGGACGTGACTCAGCAATGTTTCAGGCTCTCGGCAAAAAGCGGTTCGGCTGCTCACCACCGACTTCACCGTGATTTGTCCTCGAGATTCGCCCCGAACCTGCCGCATGTCACGCATGCCCTTTCAACAAGAGCCAACCACAGCCAGCTTGGCGGAGAAGAATGCACTCTTCGCGGAGCCGCGTCGCGTGACATGGGTCTCTCGAGTCGCACATTCGAAATTATTGGAGCATTGAGGGGAGGAAGCAGGGGAGTGAGGAATCTAGGGGAGGGAGGAACAGTACTGCACTGGGTGCAACCTTCCTGTTGTGCTGTGCTCCTACTACTGTCACCCACGCACAGGCCCTTCCCCTTGTGACCAAAAATTGCCCCAGCTTTCCCTAGTACATCAGCCCGATTACAAATTCCGACTTTCTGTGATTTTCGAACATCAGCGCGCGCTTTCCTTTCCAACTAGCAGCACGAAACGCCTTTCTCTCTTTTGCGTTGCTCTCGAGCAAGGCAGCCCAGGGCCCTTGCGAGCATTCTCGCATCGAGATAGAAGCCAGCTCCATTCAGCCCCGCAGCAGCAACGCGAACTCAAATTCTTCCAAATTGCGAAAGAAACGCGAGCAGCTCCAGCAGCCCGAGACTTAGACTCCGAAATTCCGCTCGATTTAGAGTCGCTAGGTCTACCGCCGTTCTAGTAGCACCATGGCGTGTGCCTCCGGGCTGACTCAGATCTCCTCCCAAGCAGCCACAGCCGTTGGATCGGGTCTCTCCATTTCCATTCCCAGGCGCTCTTTGCCTCCAGCTAGCTTCGGCCGCGGCGGCCTTCCGACCACCAAACGCCACGCGCCGTCGCAAGTAACAGCCTCCACGGCTTTCTCCTCCGCCGCATCGGCGGGCGGTAAATCTTCGTTTAGTACTACTAGCCACCTGCCTCCATCGAACACTGCAGGCACTCCTAGCGGCGGTTCTGCTATCACGTGGCCGTCCTTCACGTCCCCCTCCCCAAGGCCTCCCCCGACTCCCTCACCGCGCCCGCGCGTCCCTCTTTCCCCGCGCCCAAGCGGCGGCGGAGCGGCTTCCGCGGCCGCCTCCCCCAGCAGCAGGCGGCGCTGGCGGAAGGGGCTTCTCGTCGCAAACGGGCTCGCCGCGCTTTACGGCTCCGCGTCCGCCGTGGCACGCGCCACGGAATCAACCCATCCGTTGAGTCATATCGCCCCGCATTTGGCGCCCCTCATGGATCACGTTCCCGCCGAATACGCTTCACCCATCCGATTCGCCGCAGCGGCGCTCCCGTTCGCCCCTACTGCCGTCAGCACCTTCGCAGCCGCAGCAGCGGGTCGCCTGGGCGACAGTGTGCGATCTGCGACGACGTCCGCCAAAGGCCCGCTGGAACCTGAACTGGAATCGTCCCTGCCAGTCGGGGGTCACCTGGGCCCAGCCGAGGGGAGGGTTTCGCCGCCATCGGAGAAAGAAGCGTCGTCATCTGTTATGACAGCAGAGAAGGTGGCGGAAAAGGCGGCGGAGAAGGCGGCGGTGGTGACGGCGGGAGTGGAGCTAGCGTCGTACAGCTTCCTGGGCGACCTGCTGTCGCAGTTCACCGACGCCGATAGCGCCTCCACCCCGCTGCTGCTAGTGCTCTCGGTACGTGCCTTGGGCCTGCCATATCATTCTCCACACATCCGATGTGTCATCATGCTCTCCGTTCTGCTCACCCCCCTGACAAAGCCTTCGTTCCGTTTCCGTTTCGCTTCGTTTCAAGCTGTTGCCCGCCACGGCCGGTCCACTGTGCTCACCCCTGTCTTCCACGTCTCTCCCCTTTGTAATCCCTCGTCTGCTCTCCCTGCAGCTCCTACTCCTCCCCCTTCTCCAATTCGCCGACCGCCTCCACCGCGAAGCCACCAACGGCTCCAGCAGCAGCAGCGGAGTCGGAAGCGGCCGCACATCCCGTGCACCGATCGTGTCCGCGCTCGTCGCGATGGTGGCCCTCGTTGCCGCGAGCGGGGCCTCCACAGGCGCAGGGCCATCCGCCCTTCTCTCCGGCCTGGGGCAGTCGCTGCCCCTATCAACCCCGTGGCCGCTGCTCGCGTGCTTGCTCTCCCTCGTCTCCCTTCTCCGCTGCGAGGCCCACTGCACCTGCTTCGACCCGCTCTCCCTCACCGCCGTGCAGACTTCCTCTCTCGCCTCCCTCTCCCTCTTCTCCTCCCTCCTCTTTCACCTCCTCTCCTCCTCCTCCTCGTCCGCCTTCCCACACGGCATCTTGCCCATAATCACCGATGCTGCAGCTGCTGCGGCACATGCGGGCCCCGCAGTTCCCAGCACTGCGGCGCTGCTGCCGCTGATTTACAGCGGGCTCATGTGCTCCGGACTAGGCACGTGGATGGAGATGAAGTGCCTGCAAGACATGCCAGCGCCGGCCCTCATGCTGGTTTTTACATCCATCCCCATCTGGGGCGGGTTGCTCTCTGCCCTGGCACAGGGAGAGGTTCCGGAGATTGGGCTGGGTGTGGCTGGGCTCGTCATTGCTGCTGTAAACGCCGGCGCGTGGGCAGTTATGTCCCGGAATGGCGATGGTGCTGCTTCAGGCCATGCTGAAAAGGCCAGCGGCTCGGCAAACTCCAGCGGTAACAGCAGCAGCACTGTAGATAGTAACGGCAGCTACACTCCACAGAATAACATGCCGGGTGCGGAAGAGGATGCTTCAGTTTCCAAAGTGCCTGTGGAGCAGGTCAGTAACGCCCTGGTGGCTTCCCAGCTCAAGGTGCCCTTCTACTCCGCCAAGGCCAAGAGCGTCCTTCTGAAGCTGAAGCTCAAGGCCAAGGTGGCTGGAGCCAAGGTGCTGGGAGGGAAAGTAGGGGTCAAAGCTGTGGCTGCCTCTGCGTACAGTGCGTCTCACGCGCTGACGTCGGCTGTGGGAAGCGGGAGCTTTGGCGCTGGTACTGCTGATGCTGCTGCTGCAGCGGCTGCTGCTGCTGCTGGAGGGACGGTAGATGCGCTCTCCTCCCTTGGCGGTGGAATGGAGATCTCGTCGTTTGTCAGCAGCAGCAACATGCCACTCGTGCACCATGTTCCCAAGGTTATGCTGAGCGTGCTTCCGGTCGCACCTGATCAGCTGCTCTCCTCTGTGCATCTCCATGACGTTCTCCACGTGGTTCCCTCCTCCCTCCACCACTTCATCCACTGACAAGGTGGAACAAGAGGGCGAGGTGCAGACAAGGGAGGCAATGGCTGGGGCAATGGCCGGGCATCAATGGCTCCTGGTTGGGAATGGTTGGCACTGAATGATTATATTCATTCATTGCCAACCATTTGCACTTGCATATGGCTATTGCATGGCCTCGTTGATGCGTGCTCGTTTTTGTGCTTGTTGTGCTTGTTTCAACAAGCATTGAAATTACTGGCCAGGATAGATTAGGGTGCTATCCTGACCAGGCATTTCCATGCTTGTTATGCTGCTTGTACTTATGCTTTTTATGAATTTAAATAATGATCCACACATCCACCTAGAAGTGCTGGTTGGCACCTTATAGTTTACACGCTTTGCAACTTCGCTCCGCCGTTCCTCTCTCCCCTGGGATTTGTGTTGCCCGCATTCGAGTTGCCCTCCTCACCCTTTCAAACCACACCTCACTCCCCTCTACCGCGAAAATAGCACTACCCCACTAAGGGCTCCTACTGCAGCTCTTTCCTTGCTTGTCATAGCGCTCATCTGGAGTTGTGAGAGGCAGGGTAACAGCTGTTGCTTCGCCAAAGTTGACCGATCGCCGATTCGCCGCCCTGAGGATAGCAGAGGAAGAGATTCCAAGCTCCGAGATCCACTCGATTCGTGCACTACACGCAATTTGTGCCCGCAATTCGCGCTAGATCCTTCACTAGTAGGTCAGGAGCGACGAGTCATTGAGAACCTTTCAGTCGGCACGCTTGATGGCGGATCTTAATTCCGAGCACCGGCTTCAACGGCAGCGCGCGCGGGATGAGCAGAGCGTCGAAAATGCCACGTCATCTGGTGGTATGACGTGGCGGTCGTCATCCCCACCCTCCTCGTCCTCCTGGTGGCAGAATTTCGTGACAGCAGCTGTCCACGTCAAGATTCCCTCCACCGCTGACGTGGCAGGCCTAGCTGGCGGCATCGCCGTTTCCACGCCTCCTACGGCTGCAACCACCAGCACCAGCGCGAGCGGCATTCACGGCGCCAGTAGCGGCGGCGGCGGCGGCGGCGGCAGCAGCGTTCCGTCGAGAGTAATTTACCCTTTCGAGTCCGTGAGCCTTGGAAATACCGATTCCGACCCGCTCCTGTCAGGGATCCACCCAATCCGCGAGGCTGACGAGACAGGGGGCGCAGGAAAGGCAGGAGGTGGACGAGGACTCTGGAGAGGGAGAGATGGAGAAACAGGGAGAAAAAGGGAGGGATGGAGAGGCCCACGATGACGCCCAAGGTGAGGCCCAAGATGACGCCCAAGGTGAGGCCCAAGATGAGGCCCAAGGTGAGCCCAAACTTGGGCCAGCAATCGGCAGATCTCGCAAGGAGCAGGGAGGTAGCGGGGGAACGAGCAAGCTCCTCCGCCCAGCACTTGTCAGAGTCTATGCTGCCGCCACCACCCAAGCCCCCCGCGCTCACCCGCTCTCTCTCCCTCCTCGACCTCATCCTCCTCGGCATCGGCGCGTCCATTGGCTCGGGCATCTTCGTCGTGACAGGTGTCGCCGGCGCGATTGGCCGGCCCATCCGTGTCGTTATCCCTTTCTCCTGGCCGGCTTGGCGTCGCTCCTCAACGCCTCTGCTATGCCGACCTTGCCGCCCGCTTCCCCGGCCGCGTGGGCGGCGCATACCTCTACGCGCACGCCTGCCTCGGGCAGCTCGCGTCGTTTGTCCTGTTTTGCCACTTGGTGCTGGACTACCACGTGGGGCGGCAGCGATTGCCAGGAGCCTGGCGAGTTATTTGGCGTCTCTGGTGGAGGTGGCATCTGGGTAGGGCTACCTGCAGTGCTGGCACCAGGAGGCCTGCCTATTTCCATCCCCCTGCCATTTCTCTCCCCCTCTTGGCTCCTCTGGTGGGTTTCCGACTGGTGTCCGGGGGACAAAGCCCGGTGCCACCCGTACTGACCCTAGACCTCTCGATCAATCTGGTCGCGCCAGCTGTCCTGCTGCTTATCTCGTGGCTGCTGTGCCGTGGGGTGAGGGAGACCTCGAGGGTGAACGACGTGATGAACGTCTACCAAGGTGGCCATAGTGGTGCTCGTGGTGGCTGTGGGCGCGCGGTACGTCAACCCTGCGAACTGGAGCCCCTTCTTCCCCCCATCGTTGAACTCCCTCCTGGCCTCTGCTGCTCCTGCCGCTGCTACTACTACTGCCTCTGCTGCCGTCCCTGCTGCTGCTGCTGCCACTGCCACTGCGTCTGCTGCCTCTGCTGCTGCAACCACCGTCAGTGGAGCCAGCAGCAGCAGCGTTGGTGGCGTCCAGGCCATGCTATCAGCCGGCCTCTCTCGTCTTCTTCTCGTACATCGGCTTTGACGCCGTGGCCAACACAGCTGAGGAGTCCCTGCACCCCCGCCGCGACGTGCCCCGCGGTCTCCTCCTCTCCCTCGCCGTTTGCTCGCTGCTCTACATCTCCGTCTCTCTTGTCCTCACTGGCATGGTCCACTTCACCCTTCTCGACCCCTCCGCACCCCTCTCTTCCGCCTTCTCCTCGCTCGGACTCCACTTCATGGAGCGGATCATCGACATAGGGGCGGTAGTGGCCTCACGACTACGCTCCTAACGGGGCTGTATGTGCAGTCCCGCATGTATTTAGCACTGGCGAGGGATGGCATGCTGCCGGGGTGGTTTTTGCAGGTGAATGGGCGGAGCCATGTGCCGGTGCAATGCGCAGTGGTGGGTGGGAGGTGTGGCGGCGGTGATGGCAGCAGGATTCGATGTCGGGAGGCTGTCGCATATCCTGTCGGTGGGCGTGTTACTGAGTTACTCTATAGTGTGTATGTGCGTGCTGGCTTTAAGAGTGGAGCGCTGCCATGGAGGTGAAGGGGGGTGTGCTGGTGTGGAGGGTGGGGGTGGAGACCAAGTAGGAGATGCACTTCTGCACAGAGGGGCCTAGTCTCCACTATTGGTACAACAAGCAATGGTCCCGCAACTATGTTACACGCACGTGTTCCGCCGCCCCCTCCTTGGATTGCCCAATGGGTGGTGACAAGTGGCATGAGGCGGTGGTGTACGTCTGTGTCTTAGTTGCATGCGTCCTGTCCTTGGGATTTGCCACCCGGTTTGCTGCATCATGGCTGCTGCTCGTCCCTCTCTTCCTCCTGTCGCTGGCTTCTTCTGCACCGATTTTCCTTTCTCAGCGTTTCAGTGTGCCAGCGTCCGGGTTTGCGTGTCCATGGGTCCCATTTGTGCCTCTTATGGGCATCTGTGTTAACATGTATCTGCTTGCGCAGACACATATGGTTGCCTGGATGCGGCTCTTTGTGCTAACGGTCGTGGCACTTGTAGGATTTTGGTGGAACGTGAAGTGGACTCTACTAGGGTCTCGTGGCTGATATTCAAGCTGGTTGGTGGGCTTATGGCAATGGTCGTGTACATACATTTGAACATCCCAAATTATTGTAACGCTTATATTGTGTTTAATCACCTCATATATGAGTGCTATCAACTGTACGTTACTGGTATTGCATATAACGAAGTCCCTTTTATCGGTACAGATGCAGGTGGGTTTCTGGCAAAACGTTCTCTGAACGCTCCTTGACCACAGATGCGACCACGACCCACACTCTGATGCTAGATACAGTACCAGTGACCAGTGAATCGTCGTGCTCGCATGGTTACCGCTCTTCGCGAATACTGTTCCTCGCGCGCGTTGGAGCACGAGGATCTGTCGCATGAAGTTCTCAACCTCGAGTCGAGACAGCAGTTTGATTTGAAACCTCGCGAAATTCTCGCTGATGATCAGAAAGCAGCCGACCTTGGGAATTCCGTCCCCACCCCAACGAACCAAAGCACTTGTCTACTGTGAGGCCATCCAATCCATCAGGAAACTTCATTTCTTTACTGTCTCTGTTTCATGGCAGCCTAGGTTATGCCGCCTGGGATCCTGAACCTTCTGACTTCGGCTCGGCAATTGCAGTGATAGTTATTAGCCGGAGTCATTGTCGACGGACCGTTCTCGTTTAAAAGTGTGAAGCATTGTGCGAAGAACGAATCCGTATTCTCGGTCGAACTGGTGTCTCATTCTGCAACCGATAAATAATCATTTGGCTTCAGGTGCAGCCCTAGTTGACTAAGCAGAACCACGCATTCCTTTTCTGAGTGACTGCGAACGCCGTGGTTGAATCATTTTCAAGTGCGCCGGACAACAGCGCTATTTAAGGAGCTTATGTAGCTCGTCAGTAGTTTATTCACGCTTAAAGCCAGGGACCCAAGTTTCTAGAACCTGGGGCAAGTGTTTTACAGTTGGTTGGGAGAACCCAGGTTTTGTGTCGTGAGGGTGCGTGAATTGCAACACTCGCAGGCGATTTCACTAGTGCCTGCAGCTCGCTGGCCAATCAGTAGTTTTAGTCCCAACCAACTGTTCTACAGTTGGTAAACTTGGGTCCCAACCAACTGTTTTACAGGCGATTTCACTGGTGCCTGCATCTACGCTCTGTCTCCACCTTGGTCGTTACTCCATGCTCTCGACCTCCCCTCCTGCCATTATTGACCGTTGTTGAGGCGTCCGGTCCCGAGCCTTACCGCTTTAGTTCCATTCCGTCAGCTATTCGTTTAGCCTTCAGCCTCAGGGCTCCTGGTAGCTTCTGGCGACGACGCAATTCATTCGGACGGCTCGCGATTCTAACATCGACGCGACGCATCGTGCTCATTCGAACATTCGCATAGAGTGCTCTCGGCGTGTCTCTCGCAATGAGTGGCTTAGACGGTCCCGTGATGGACATTCCACGGCCTAGGTATCAAGGGGTGAGTTGGCGACGTGACCCTTCTTTTAATGCTTTTAGCATTGATTTTGACACAATTCCAATAGTTTTTCTCGCATTGAGTGGGATAGATGTTTCCGTGATGGTCCGACCTTTCCGAGGCCCAGGTACCAAGGGGTGAGTTTCCCATATTCCGGCGAATTCAGGGGATAAACTGTGTGTGCGCCTTCAAGGCGGCGTCAAGCATTGTAGATCCAGGACACAAGACGGGGACGGGGATCGGTGGGGCGAGGTATACTCACGATCGCTTGTATTGATCATGGCGCCGTTGGCTGCTGTTTTTAGAGAGAAATAGCTCGGCTCCTCTCTTGCTCAGTTTTTTTTTATCTCTCTCTTCTATGTTGCCGCGTTTCGTTTGCGGCGTTGCATGCGTCCATCCGACAGGTGTACAAGAGTGGACATCTATCCGTGTCGTCTAAAGGTGAGCCTCCTTCAAAAGGCGACTTTCGTTCAACGAATCCCGTCTTTTAATGCACTTCGAGAAGCAAGGCAAGGCCCTACATTGTACCCAGAGCTTGAACCTGCGTGTTATCCATTTTTTCCCTAACTTCCCTTCTCTCCCCCCTTTTCTCATTACCCCCCGCTCTCCCTCCCAGGTTTAGGATGGAAGTCATGGAAGCGGCGTTGGTTCCTTCTCACTCGTTTTCATTTTCTCTTGATCCTTACGCCCCTGCTCTCCCGTTTCCCCGCTTTGCTTCCCTCCCAGGTTTGGGGTGGAAGTCATGGAAGCGGCGTTGGTTCCTCCTCACGCGCTCCTCCCTCATCTTCTTCAAGCACGAGCCAGTAAGCGCGTGACTGTAGTGAATCAGTGTGACATTAACGAGCCAATGGGTGTGTGTGTGCACGACCCCCCTTGGTTTATTTAGTCCCAGTGATTCTCCACCCTTCCTCATAATTATTCCCTCCTCTCCACGCAGAGGGGTCGCATTGACATCTCATCGGCCATAGGAGGCATCGAATTCAACAACGCTGGAAAGTAAGGCTGCCTCTCCCTCTCTCTGCCTCTACACTCCTCTCGCTCTACCCTACCCCCCCTCCTCTCCCCCCCCCCCCCCAACCACTCTCGCTGCCCTTACCCTGCGGAACCGGCTTTGCCTTGTTCAGCTTTCGTCATAGACTGATTGCTCCTTGCCTCGTGGTTGACATGTTGCCCATGTGCGTCCATGTGCGTCCATGTGCGTCAATGTGCGTCCATGTGCTTCCATGTGCGTCAATGTGCTTCCATGTGCTTCCACGTGCGCCAATGTGCGTGTGCGTGCGTGCATGTGCAACACCAGGGTGCACATCAAGCCCGACAAGAAGCAGCTCTCCTCTCCCCCACCTTCCCCTGATCTCGATCCAATGATTCCTTGCCCATGTCGATAAACCTTCTCCACACGCTCCCATATGTGCCGCCTTGATGTGCCACGGCCCACCAGGGTGCACATCAAGCCCGACAAGAAGCAGCTCTCCCTCACCTTCCCAGATGGCCATGCCTTCACCTTCAAGGTCCGTCCGTGCCATGCCCTCTCCCCTCTCCCTCCTTCCCTCCCTCTCTCCCTCATCTTCCCTGACGGCCTGCCTTCACCTTCAAGGTCCGTGCCATGCCATGCGATCTCCCTTCGCCCTTCCCTCTCCCTCACCGTCCCTGACGGCCACGCCTTCACCTTCAAGGTCGGCCCTCCCTTCTCTGTGAGCCATCAGTCAGTCCGTACGGTCTATGCCTGCACCGTCAACATCCGTGCTAGCCCGTCGCTTTGCCTCCAACACCGTGCCTTCACCTACAAGGTCCAGTCCAGATTTCATGCTCCCGTCACTCCCCTCCCCTCACGTGCTCACAGTCATTGCGTTGCCCCTCACTCACACTGCTGCCCCTCATCACGCACAGTGGCCACGCCCCCTTCCGATCTCAGACCAACACTGCAGAGGGGAGGGGAAGGACGTGTAGCAGGACGCCATCTCCAAGGTTTCCACGGTTTCCTTCACCGAATCCCCCCCTTCCCCCTCCCAACCTCGTCTCTTCGTCCCTTCTCTGCCCCGTCGCAGACCGATGCTTTGGAGGACCTGGAGGAGTGGAGTGGCGCGCTGGAGGACGCCATCTCTAATGCCCCTCCGCCCTTCTCAATCCCTTATTCCCATCACCCCCCTGTGCTTTCCCCCTGTGCCTTCCCCCTGTGCCTTCCCCCTGTGCCTTCCCCCTGTGCCTTCCCCCTGCGCTTTCTCAGACCGACACGCTGGAGGACCTGGAGGAGTGGAGGGACGCCCTGGAGGACGCCATCTCCAAGGCCCCGCCGCCCTCCGTGATGATGGGTCTGCCCCGCGACACGCTCTTCCGAGGGGATGGGCTCGACATAGGCGACAACGACGGGCCTCCAGGACCAGGTGGGTTTGGGGTATGGGATGTTCTGCCATGGCATGCTTGGGCCACCCCTCCGACCTCCGTGATGATGGGTCTGCTGCGCCACACGCTCTTCCGAGGGGATGGGCTCGACATAGGCGACAACGACGGGCCTCCAGGACCAGGTGGGTTTGGGGCATGGGATGTTCTGCCATGGCATGCTTGGGCCACCCCTCCGACCTCGGTGATGATGGGTCTGCCTTGTGACATGCTCTTCCGAGGGGATGGGCTCGACATAGGCGACAACGACGGGCCCCCAGGGCCAGGTGAAAGGCTGCGATGTTCCTGGGATGGCCCAAGCACGGCATGCTTGAACCATCCCCTTCGCCCTCAGTGATGATGGGTCTGCCTTGTGACACGCTCTTTAGAGGGATGGGCTGGACATAGCCGACAACGACGCCCCCCCCGGGACCAGGTGGGCCGCTGTTCTGGACATAGGCTGCTTGGTCTCGTTGAGTCTGGGGCAGCAGAGGGCGTTGTTGGGCCATCCCTCCACCCTCCGTGATGATGGGTCTGCCCCGCGACACGCTCTTCAGAAGGGATGGGCTGGATATAGGCGACAGCGACAGCCCCCCAGGATCAGGTGGGTTTGGGGCATGGGATGTTCTGCCATGGCATGCCTGGGCCAACCCTCTGCCCTCCGTGATGATGGGTCTGCCCTACGACACGCTCTTCAGAAGGGATGGGCTCGACATAGGCAACAACGACGGGCCCCCAGGGCCAGGTGAAGAGCTGTGCTTTGCTGGGCATAGGCGGCTTAGTCATGCATGCATGGGCCTTCATCATCGGCCCTCCGTGATGATGAGTCTCACCTATTCCCCTCGCCCCTCCCTGTCTCCCCTCTCCTCCCCTCTCCTCTCCTCTCCCGTCCCCCCCCCTCCCCGCCAGGCAAGGAGTGCCTGCCGCCTGCCCTCCATGCTGCTGTGCCGCCCCTTCTCCCTTCTCCTCTCACCTATTTCCCTCGCCCCTCCCCTCTCCTCCCCTCTCCTCTCCTCTCCCGTCCCCCCTCCCCACCAGGCAAGGAGCGGCGCCTGCGCTCCATGCTGCTGTGCCGCCCCTTCTCCCTCGCCCTGGAGGACGTCAACGGCTCGCCCTCCTTCCTCGAGAAGGCCCTGCGTTTCATAGAGATTCACGGTGAGCCTTCCCCCCCATAGCCACTCGTGCTGACTCTGAGCTCCATAGGCACTTGTGGTGAGGCTCACAGAGGCTTGTGGTTGCTTGAGTGCCCTGGAGGGCTCAATGGCTCGCCCTCCTTCCTCAAAAATGCCCTGCGCAGCTGCGCTTCATAGAG